GGGGTTACCTTATAGGGTTCTAAATATGAACCCTAAGGAACTACTATGGGGCCTCTGGGGGGTTCCTATATGTATGTGGTTGTCAAAATTATGGTCCCCTTTTGGGTCCTTATTATAATACGGCACCTATTTTTTAGGGTACCCCGAAAAGGACCATAATTTTGACAACTACCCCTATAAAGCCTACCTACAGTCTTCATTGTAGTTCCTTTTCTAGGTTACCTTGTAGGATCCTAAATACATAAGTGGTTAAGCCCAAAAAAGGAACTAGAATGGAGACTTTAGGTACGCACAAGGTTCGTATAAAGGGGTACTATAAGCCGTAAGTATAAGTAGCTTTCTACAAGACTACCTACTGTAAGTAAGGGGTTTCTACAATTTGGCTACATTTTCGTGGTAAACTGGTGTTACAAGTTTTACAAGACGATGAACACGATCTCTGTTCTAGTTCAAACACTCACACAATTACAATTGGCGTGGTTGATTTTGTCAACGCCGGCTGAGTGCCGCTCTCACTGTCGTTGTTGCTGTGATGGCTTACCACGTTTCAGGGATACGGGGTTTCGCGTTTTGGGATATGGGACTCCGGATTTAGGGCTTGTGAAGCAGTTCATGGGGCAGTCCTCATGACCACCGCCACAGCGACCACGGCTGCAGATCCTGAACCGCTGCGAAAAGAGAGAAGCGCGAGTTGGGAAGGCCCACCTTCGTAGCTTAGGCTCATGTCCCGGCAACTTCTGCTCCTCAGTGAGTTGGAGGGACAAGTGGCCTACTGGACCATTCGTTTTTTCGCTGGGGAGCCGGTGCCAGTCCAAAGGGAACAATGTGCATTCTTCTATGTACAATACAGCCCCGCGGACACGGTAAACTTGTAGATGAAGCGGGGGCTCTAAATGCACGGTAGCGATTAAACGCAACCCATGTCAGATGCTGCTTGCACTCTACCGAAGCATCCCGGCAGAAGGCAAGCGAAAATGTTCACCACCACCGGACTCAGACTGTGCGGGCGTGCCCTGAGGAACCGGATAAAGCGCCCGTGGTTGAGAAAGGTACAGACAGCGCGCTTGTTCAGAACGAGCTTCACATGCGACGACCAGCAAGCGCATCCCGGGGTTCGGGGAGCAGGTGCAACGCACCAGGAGACCCCGAACCCCTCCAGAGCCCTGAGCATACTGCAGATAGGATACGGTCATAAATTTATAAGGCAAATGTAGCTCTCTTTCTTTATACACACGTTCAAATTTATAGTCCGATTTTATGCTAATTTTGCCTATATATATATATATATACACATACATTTGTACGCAATACTATTAAACTATTAAGGTATGATGCTCTCGATCTCTTGCTTGCAGAAATGCCGCTGCTTTGTTTCAGGCAGCGTGCCTTGCTCCGCTCAAGCAAGCTATGGAGGCAGGGCAGCTCGCGTTTGTTATGTATGCATGCATGCATGCATGTGTGTATGCACATGTATAGATATATACATATATATA